AGTTCAACACTTTCCCACCCCTGTCGCGCGAAACCTGCCAAATTTGAAACTCGCTGTTACGAAAAGCGAGTTTGATTAAGAACTCGCGGTTACGAAACGCGAGTTTAATTAAATTTTTTTTCCTTTGAACTCTCTTTTTACAAGCACGATTTCATCCCAAAAAAATTTTGTGCTGAACTCGCTTTTTGAAACCACGAGTTCATCAAAAAATAGATTTCTTTTGAACTCGCTGTTCATAACCACGAGTTTATCAAAATTATGAACTCGCTATTTGTAACCACGATTTTAGGGCAAATTTTTTTTCTTTAAGTGAAATCGTGGTTCACAACCACGATTTTAGAACTTCTATTTAACCCCCCCAGCCCCGTGTTTTGCATTCACGCTTTCTCCTTCTCCCTCTGCTGTCTCTCTCTCGCTCTTTACTCCTCTCACTCTATTCTCTCTCTCTCGAGCTACCTGCTCTCTCTCTCTCGAGCTCCCTCTGATTGATTCAGTACTGTCTCTCTCTCTCTCGTTGGTATGGCTTCTATCATCTACTTTACTGTGAATAAATTAGGATTAGAGTTTATATTTGTGAATATATTTGTGTTTGTGAAAATGTGAATAAATTAGGGTTAGGGTTAGGGTTCATGAATGTGGGGTTAGGGTTAGGGTTTATATTTGTGAATAAATTAGGATTAGGGTTCATGAATGTGGGGTTAAGGTTAGGGTTTATATTCGTGAATAAAATGTTGTGAAATCAGAAATAATAAATTAGAGTTACGGTTTATATTTGTGAAATTTTAAGTGTAGATAATTTGTTGAATGTAAATGTTGAATGTGTTGAATTTTAATTATAGATAATTTGTTGAATTTGTTTAATTATAGATAATTTGTTGAATTTTAATTATAGATAATCTGTTGAATGTGAAATCTTGTGCTATAGATAATTTGTTGTTGAATTTGTTGAATGTGTTTAATTATAGATAATTTGTTGAATTTTAATTATAGATAATCTGTTTAGAAATCTGTTGAATGTGAATGTTGAATGGTTTATATTTATCTTAAATCTGTTTATAATTGTGAAATCTGTTGAATGTGAAATCAGATTTGTATTGAATGTGAAATCAGATTTCTGTTCAATGTGACATCTGTTGAATGTGAAATCTGTTTAGCAAAATTTAAATATTATGTTTGAAATAAGAAAATGAGGGTTATGATTTTCTATTGAATGTGAAATCAGAAATGAGGGTTTTGGTTTTGAATTAGGGTTTTGAATTGATGAATGTGAAATCATTTTTCAATTAACGGTTTTAAATTGTGAAATCAGAAATGAGGGTTATGGTTTCAGAAATTAGGGGTTAAGAAATTTATGATAAGTTAAATTTTTAAATAATGTTATATAATTTTTTTTAGGAACAAATAATTTTTACATAATGAATAGATAATTATCTATAATAATAATAATTACATAAGAAAGAGAAACGTTAATTTGGCTGTAAAAATTATTATTAATTAGGTGAAGAGCATCTCTAATAGTTGTTACTATAATATCATTGTTATTGTTATAATTTGGCAACGAATAGTGCTATTTTGTCAAATTATAGCAATGGTGCTCTAATAGTCACTTGCTATTTTGACAATTCTCAACCAACTTTCCCTCTAAATTTGTAGGTGTTGTTTGAATATAAATTTTTTTGTAATTTTATTTTTATTTATTTTTTGTCTTTTATGACTTTTTTTTAACTGTTTGTAAAAAAAAACTATATATTTATATTATTCTCGACTCGACAAATATAAAAAATGAAAAAAATAGAAAAATTAGAAAAAAAATTAAATATAATTCAATTTGAAAAATTAAATAAAAAAATTAAATTTGAAAAATTACTTGGTTTTCTACTATTTCAATTCTATTTTTTCAACTGAATTTGGAGCCACAAATATGTTTATATTTGCTGATGTGGCATGTTTGGTAATTGCCATTTTACTTGCCAAATTTGAGAACATATATGGCATATGCCATCTTTGGCAAGTAAAATAGCAAGCCATTGAAGACCCACTTGTTATCACTATTGCTAAATTATAGCTTTGGCAAGTATTTTGAGAGCTCTATTGGAGATGCTCTAACTAACAATCCAATAAATTTTATATCTTTATAGTGAGATTACTTATTTTTGCATATCACTAATAATGGCATTGTTGTTACATTCAAAAAATTTCATAACTAATATGGTTTATTTATAATAGTCTTTTCATTTTCAATCAAAAAACTATTATTGTTTTTATAATTTTAAAAATGTCATTGACATTTCTCTCTAATAATATTTTTGTAATTTTTTATTTAAAATATTTTCTTTATGTTTGAAAAAAAAAAAAAGATTTCCCAAAATCCAGAGGGTGCGTGACCCCCCATGGTCCCATGCTCTCTCCGCCACTGCCTATATGTACAACAGACAGTATGGGTATGTTTTTCTGAGCTAGCGAGCATTATGTGTTAAAAAATTGAAGATCGGAGAAATAGTCATTTGATCTGTTGAAATATTAAACTATTTATTCAAATGTCTCACTATCTGTACACTTGTCATCTCTCTGTGCAACTATCTATTGAAATATCCAACTATTTGTAAACATATCAACCATCTATTCATTTTAGTGCCACTATAGTTGTCCCCGTTGGCCACCGTCGCAAACTATCGTCCGTCGATAACTTTTTTAATTAATTTTTTGGTATTTTTTAACGCGTGTTATTCTCACAAAATATGATTAATGAATGGAGTTAATACGTGACGCACCTTTCAACTTAGATTTGTCTACAAATTTTTCATTTTTTATTTGTTGGTCAATTACACTCATGTCCCTTGAATAAAATTATAATAAAATTTACAAATTTAGCAAAATTAGATTAATCCTCCAAATTGTGTTAGTCAATTTTGAAAAAACATTAACCCATTCATTCTTTAAGACACGGAATTAATTAAATATTTTAACATTTTAAACTATTATTTAAATAAGTGAGGTGAATAGAAAGCAACAGAAAAATATCAAATAACCTATTTTTTTTTACTATTTGAACTGAAAAGCTTATTATTTAAATTATATCCTAATAAAATCTGACAAATTAATTGAATGCATGATAATTATATTTCATAAATCAAAATGCAGACCAATTAAATTAAGAAAATAATATGCAATGAAAATAAAGAATAAATATTATGTGATTAATGATATAAATGATATTAGGTTTTAAAAATAATGTTTTAGAGGTGTTAAGGACATGTTTGGTTTGTCTCTCAAAACATATTTTTGGAGAAAAAAATTCTAAAACATGTTTAGTTGAATTTTTTTTATAAAAAAATTCAAAAATCACTTTTTTCTCAATTACAAATTAATCAATAATTTTTTCTCTTTCATTTCTCATTCTTAATTATTTTTTCTATTACACTTATCTATTCAACTATAAAAAAAAAAAAAATCATTCCAAAGTTCAAAACTATTTTTAAAATATACAACAAAACAAAATTTAAAATTTTCTAAACTCTCTCAGGAAAACTATTTTTGAAATAGGGTAAATTACATAAACACCCCCTAACGTTTGATTAAAATACGAATTGCCCCCTATGATTCTGGAAATTACATTCCACCCTCTAAGGTTTCTAATTTCATAACAAATCGCCAATTTTATTAATAAATTATCAAGTTAATTAACAGTTTTTAATGATATTAAAAATATCTTTCAATTATCAAGTTAATTAACAGTTTTTAATGATATTAAAAATATCTTTCAATTAGTAATTTATGTAATTTTATTATTGTGTAGAAGAATAATTATGAATTTCATTTTTTCAGTTAATTATGTTAAATAAAAAATTACGACAAGGGGGTATTTGTAATTTTTCAAATCGTATGGGGCAATCTGTATTTTAAGAAAAGCTTAGGGGATGTATTTGTAATTTACTGTTTGAAATAATATCTCAAAACACAAACCTAACAAGGCCTATGTGTCCCATTTTGTCAACAATTTTAATTGAAACTCTTAAGCTAATATATAAAATGTGTGTAAAATGTAATTATATTTCATTAATATTTTATTCTCATAAAAAATATTATTATTTTTTAAAAATGTCTACCAAAATTCATAATTAAAAAACTAGGAATTTGTTTGGTTTAGTTTTAGAATTATAATTTGAGTGTGAAGTTGTGTTTGGAATTTTTGAATCATGATATGAAAAGAAAAAATTTGTTTAATTATAAGTTTTAAAAATAGTTTTAGGATGATTTGTAATTTTTTTTGATTAATTAATATATAAAATGTAAGATAAGAGAGAGAAATAATAATTAATTGATTGATTAATAATAATAATAATAAAAGTGATTTTAAATTATATTTTAAAAATATATTTAGTTAATATATTTTATTCAAATTCGGATTTAGAAGCAAACTTAAATTTTAAAAAGTAAACAAACGCTAGCAGGTAGGCTCGCTATAATTTACCGTAAATTAAAATTGTAGCTAAAGGGTTTTAGGAGAGGAGGGTTTGAGGCGCCATGACTCTTCTGTTTATAAACGGTTGAACGCGACTCTGGGGGCCATTTCCCAATATAAGCCATTTTTGTATCGTATTTCCAAAACTAGGCCAACTTCTGACGGAATTCCAAAACTAAGTTAAAACGCTATTACTATTCGCGCTTTCACTGTTAGGAGCGGAAAAGTAGGTGAACAGTAAAATCGCTATTACAAATAGCGACTTTGATTAATAAGTCGCTATTACAAATAGCGCTTCTAGGGTTATTTTTTTCCCAATAAAAAACGCTGTTCTTAACAGCGCTTTTCACACAAATTTTTGTTGCAAAAAAACGCTATTATCAATAGCGATTTTAACAAAAACAAATTCCCCAAAAAACGCTGTTTATAGTAGCGATTTTAACATAATTTTTTTTGCAGAAAAAACGCTATTCATAATAGCGATTTCAGTTAAAATTTTGTTCCAAAAAACGCTATTCCTTGGTTTTGATTTGTATAGATTGTGAATCTTCACTACATGCTTACTAAAGCTGTTGTCAAGTCAAGGCCAAGTGTTCTATGGTGCTACAAGGACAAACTTGAACTTAGCAGGTAAATGTTTAGCTCATTCTTTCACCAGTGACTCACACAAAATTTATGCTTTTCTTCAGCTCTTGCATAATAAGTAAAATCAAACTAGTTTTCTGGAATTTTATGTTTTTTTGTTTTACTAGATTGCAAATCATTGTAAACTTGGAAATAGTCTTTCTTATTTGAATTTTTAGTTGGTAACTTGTTTTATGGAAAAAGCAAGTAAATTGAACTCACACCAATATTGGTATAGCCCAGGTTTTCTTCTGTCATTGTTGTAATGCTATTTTGCAGCAGCATAGGCCGTGTTTGTTTTGGTGGACTAGATTAGATCGGATTAGCATTCTTAACTGTTAGTCCTATGATTATCAATTCCCTTGGATTATGTATTCTATCCAATGTTTGGATTGACACAAAATTACAAGGGATAAACAAACAACTATCAATTTGGGAATTTAATTAATTAGTTTGAACCAATGTTATTAAAGGAATGCCTAGGGGTGAGCCTAGGCCCATGGCTCATCAAGGTGTAGTCAATGCGCTTCAAAACATCTCAGGCCAAGCGATGTGAAACAGGCCTTATGAAGGCACATGAAGCATGCATTTTGGGCTTTGGCTCAAGGCGCATGACATGTGCGTTTTTTTTTTAAATGTTTATTTCTTACAATTACTACTATTGATTTCACTTAATCTTATCGTTTTTTTGTTTGTTTACATGCTGCGACAAGGGATTAAATCCTTAAATATACATTGCAATATAAAAAAGATGTTGTCATAGAGCTTTCTCTTTGACTACACTAACAATTGTCGTTTTTCTTCTTCATCCCCTCAATCTCTTTCTTCTTCTCCTTCTCCTTCTCTATGCTTTTTTTGTAAGGCACTTCGATCTCGTCTCTATTTTAAAATGTTTATGATTTATGGGTTAGATGATTGAGTTTATGTGTAACCTTGAATTATTTGGCTATGATAAAATATTGGTGTTTGTTGGTATTTATGTTTTAAGATATTTAATATTGCATTACTTGTGTTGAACCTTCAATTATTTTCTTATATTAAATTATCTATTTTTTTTTGTCAACACGAGCCTCGTTTCGATGAAGCTTGCACCTTGCCTTGCGCCTAGCACTTAGGCTCTAGTAAACCTTGGCACTTCAATGCGCTTATCGCCTTTAGTAACACTGGTCCAAACCTCTCCTTAGTCCTCCATTTTGTATACCACCCCTGCTCTTGGGATTCAATAGTCCCCCATATGGGGATGGACTATTTGTCCGGACTCTAATTTTCTTAGCCAAACATCAGATTATGTATTTTGTTCGATTATTAATCCAATCTCAAGGCTATGTTTGCCCAAACAACATGGTCTATATGTATACTAAACAAACACATGCATTTTAGAGTAAGCAAAACATGCTAAATGAAATGTACCTGCAGGATGCTGAAAATATTACTTTTTCATAAAAATACACACAAATGCATATACATACAGTTTTATAAGAATTGTTCGCTAGAGCTTATCACTGAAGAATGGGTGATTACCTAAGATATTTAATCTATCCTTTTCATTATAGTTTATTTGATTTATCATATCATTATTGATCAGCCTGTGTGTGTTAGATTTATATGATCCAATAGGAGAGACCTATAGAGAGTTCAAATAAACAGTTTGCTTTGTCGCTATTACGTTCACTTTCAGCTCAATTCTTTGGTGTGATTTTTTCCTTATTTTTCTCTTGTTTCAATTTGTATTATTGGACAAATTTCCACCAAGACAGTTAATTGTTAATCAATTCAATAAATTATTTTTTGCAGTCACAAGAAAAAACGTGCGAAACAAGTCAAAAAGTTAATGCAGAGGGGACTATTAGATCCTGAGAAGGTTGATCCTTTTTCACTTTTTGTTGAAACTGGAGGAATTACATACTGCCTGTACAAAGATTCAGAAAGAGTTCTCGGAAATACTTTTGGCATGTGTATACTACAGGTAGATCACCATTTGTCTATCATCATTGAATTGATTTGTGTTGCATGATCTTCTCCAGTCATGTGAAAAGTCTCTATTTCCTAGTGCTTATTCTAATTTTCCTTTTGGTTATGTTTTTAGGATTTTGAGGCTTTGACACCAAATCTCCTTGCAAGAACGATTGAAACAGTGGAGGGGGGTGGATTAATTATACTGCTACTTCGTTCTTTATCCTCACTCACAAGTCTGTGCACCATGGTTATGGTAAAAATCATAGTTCATAATTGTCTTACAGCTTTTTTATTTTTACCTATTATCCTAGCAGTTACAAAATTGTGGGACCTCATTTCCACAATTAGTTTTTGTTCTTTTTTTTTTAACCTTCTCCCTTCAATTAATTTTGTGATCTTACATTTGATATGATTATCAACACATGTTTTTGTTGGAGCAAAAAAAAAGTATCCCTTATATTATATTTAGATATGTAAAATTTTCTTTTGTTCTATATCTCATGCTTTGTGGCACAATGAATATTGTGTGCAAGGTTTTTAATAATGGCGGCGGTTACCGTAACAGTAACAGTAACAGTAGTGTTGACGCGGTTGCGGGGTGTAATGGCTATATCGTAACGGTGACAGCCATCGCAACCATGAATTTTTTAATTCTTCACACAACTTTAGGAAAACATACCGATGGGCATGTTTTTATTTCAGAATCATTAGTGAGGTTCATCTTGATTTTTAGTATTTTTGTTTAGTTTTAAAATATGATATATATACTAATTTCTATATTAGTTTTAAGTCGTTATGGAGAATTTTCACTTGTTCTAACTTAGGCTGTGCCAATATAAGATGTTGGGCCCATATCTATTGCATAATTATTTGTTCAAGGCTGCAGATGTGAGATGGTTGTTGTTTCTGTATTTTTTTTTCCCCTAATGTTTTAAGTTCTTAAACCATTATTTTTATTTTTTAATGCTCATAAAAGGCGTACTAATTACAGGATGTTCATGAGAGGTTTCGTACAGAATCCCATTCTGAGGCTACTGGACGTTTTAATGAACGTTTCTTACTGTCGATTGCTTCATGTAAAGCATGTGTAGTTATGGATGATGAACTGAATATTCTACCGATTTCTTCTCATATGAAGTCAATTAAACCATTTTCAGTCAATGAGGTAACCTTTCCAATTTTGTAAATGTTGATTTATTTGAGAACAATAATTCTTTTGATGTGCAGTTGTTTTCACATGTTGTCTGCCACTGCCAGTGGCACCTTGAGTGCAAAATTTGCCATGTGAACTTGCTTCCCAAGTGAAAATTTCTGTTGGGAGGGAGGGTTATGGTTCATTATGTTTTAATTTGAAATTGATAGTTATTTCAAATGATTGAATAGTACCGTAATGCTTAATATTGAAATATTCAATCTAGCCAAATCTTCAATTCTTTTTTTTCCTGTTGATAATTTAAGGACTCTGAGGGTCTCTCGGAAGCGGAGCGTGATCTGAAGAATCTGAAAGAGCAACTAAATGATGATTTTCCTGTTGGTCCTTTAATTAGAAAGTGTTGCACATTGGACCAGGTATGGATTCTTTGTATCCTTTTCACTGTGTGAGGACTTCTTGTCCTCCAAACTTTCTTCTTTAATAAATTTTGTTGTTGATCTTCAAAAAAAAAAAAAAATTCTTTGTTCAACTTTACGAAATTCAAAATTCTCTTTCATGTGGTTGAACAATTGTTGGTAGCTCAGCTCGTTGTTTAAAATATTTGGATAGGGAAAAGCTGTCATTACATTTCTTGATGCAATTTTGGATAAGACACTTCGTAGCACAGTTGCTTTGCTTGCTAGTCGTGGCCGTGGCAAGTCAGCTGCACTAGGTCTAGCAATTTCTGGAGCTATTGCTGCAGGGTACGTGCTGGAACTATATTAATCACTTAAGTCTTGTGTCATGTCCCTTGTTCCTACTTCTTTTTGTTTACATATTGACCATTGCTAACTTTTGATACTAAAATCATCGGTATAGGTATTCAAATATCTTTGTAACTGCACCCAGCCCCGAGAACTTGAAAACTTTGTTCGAGTTTGTATGCAAGGGATTTAATGCACTTGAATATAAGGTATGCATGTTTTGTGTCCCTTCTGTCTGAGTAATGAAATGCTTTGTAGTATTGCATTGCCAAATTATATTGTTACCGTTTAACAGGCTTTAATGAAGCCCTTCTAGGGCATGGGGGATTCCATTCATAGTTTTGGTAGCGTTTGGTAGAGTTTTGTAAATGTGATTTGAGAGTATGAGTTGTATTTTGAGTTTGTGTATTGTGGAATTATGATTTGAGTGTAAAAAATTTGTTTGGTTATGGTTTTTAAATAGAGTATTGAAATGTGTTTTGAAGATGTATTTTGAATTAAGTTTTGAAAATTTGATGTGACATGTGAAATAAGAAAATTTGTTTGGTGATGTGTTTTAGAAATGGTTTTCAAAACTTCATTCAATCAATAATTTATAATCAAACACACAACTCATATATCAATATCCGTATTTTTTTATCAACAGTAATAACCAAACTATTTTTAAAATACTGAAATTAAAAATTAATTTTTTTTTTCAATTAATTTTTTTTCAGTAATTTTTTTTGAATAATTTTTTTTTTCATTTAAAAATAAATCTATGTCAATTATTTTGTGTCAATTAAATTTTCTATCAATTCATTTTTTACGCTTGTACAAACATTTTCTACAATACGTTTTATATATTTTTTAAAATTTTTGTTAAAGTCAACAAATTTTGAGAATACATATTAATAAAAATTAACATAAATACACTAAGTGTAATATTTTAAAATACAAATCATAACGTAAACCTTACAAAACATTATCAATTTTTTTTCTCATTTATTACACGTTATTAATTTAGTAATTCAGTATACGGATGTAATATTATTAAAAAATTATTAATATTATAAAAAAATAATAGATAAGAAATAAAAAGTAAGAATAAAAAATAAAAAACAACCTGAACCTTCTGAACCTTAGCTTCAAATAGTCGAAGAGCAGGAAGTCAGACCGGGACAACCAGGAGGTCAACCGGCCGGTCATCCAGCCGGTCATCCCATCTCACACCTCCCACTCAGTTTCCTATCAGATAGTCGAAGCTTCCATGTCTGATGTTTGATACAAAGAAGAAATATGAGGTTCACACGAAATTTTCAGATACGATGGAGAAAGACATGGAAGCTTTTCAGATCAAAAGAGAAAGAAAGACGAGGGTCACGGGAAATTTTCAGAGACGATGGAGAAGGAAGGGGAAGCTTTTCAGAGCAAAAGAGGAAGAAGACAGACACGTTGAAAGCGGAGAAATGAACTATGAGATGCCAAACGGATTTTCAAACCGTAATTTGAATTAACACGTGGAATCATATTTTGAGTGTCCTATCCAAACATCAAGCGGGAATTCACCTGTTGAAAGTTAATTTGAAAATACAACCAAACACAGCCTTTGTTTTTCTGTTACAATTTCTTCAGCCAAGTTGTTTTGGCATATTATTGATCATGCCCTCATTATAAATTGACTTTTTATTTTGTCATTTCATGCATGTTAATTAGTTAAAAATGCTCTTAGTCTGAACCTACTGAACTTTTGTATTTTGGGATTTGTTTGATACTTAAGTTACTGTCAGTTTTGTGAATCGTAATGGTTAAGTTGTCAACTGTGGTATTAGTGATCCATGATCCATCTCTCTTACTCTCTAACACATGCACACATACAGAGAATCACTTGTGCTTGGGAATTTTGGTCCAGCAACTTAACATTAGAAATGGTTGTGTTCTATAATTATGCATGATTTGCATCTTCCTTTTTTGAAACAAGTTCTGAACCATGACATACTACTGCAACTTTTGTTTGCAGGAACACTTAGACTACGATGTGGTGAAAAGTACCAATCCAGAGTTCAAGAAGTCAACTGTGCGAATCAATATTTATAAGCAACACAGACAAACAATTCAGGTTTATTATGAATTGTGGATCAATATTCACACAATATGCTTGTACATCATGCCATAAGATTCTGAAATGTCTTGCATCAAAAATTTGCAACAGAAACAAAATTGAAATAATGATTTCTGTTAAAGGGGTAGTTCTTGTCATATTTCCTTCATCTTAGGCAATGTGCAAACACAGGCTGACAACTGTCTGTGTGAGGACACATTGAGAGAAATGTCGGGGAAAGGGTAAGGCAATATTACCTTGGCTACATGGTAAGAGCATCTCCAATGGAGCTGTCAAACAACCTGCCAAAGCTATAATTTGCAAGAGTGACAAAAAAAGGGTCTCCAATGACCTGTTATTCTTTTTGCCAAAGATAGCATAGACCATTTATGTTCTCAAATTTGGCAGGAGGTTTGGCATTTGCCAGTCATGTCACATCATCAAAGATTAACAGATTTTTGGTTCCATATCAGTTGAAAAAATAGAATACGTTCACCTAGAAAAATAGAATTTGTTCACCAAATTTTTTAAACAATTTGGCAATTGCCAATTTCTTTTTTTTTTTTTTTGAAACAAAATTCACCATTAACCCAAAAAAAACAAAAAGCATAATCAGGTTAAAAACAACAACAATCAAGCAATTTCAAACAAATTTCAAACAATCTCAACAAATCTCAAACAATTTGAAGCAAATCTTAGGTAATCTAAATAAATTTGAAGCAAATTCTAAACAATAAATACCTAGATTTCAAGATGCTTGATGGATTTCAGATGATTTCAACACTCTGATGCTTCAGCTTGATCTTCTTCGTTTTCATCTTCGTGCTTAGGGTTTGACTTGGGGTTTCGGGTTTCTTCATCTTCGATTTAGGGTTTTTTTATATTTGATTTAGGGGATAGAGTGATTAAGAGGAAGAGAGACAACATGGTAAGAGAGAAAGATTGAGGGAGGGGAGGGGGGGGGAGAGGGAGAGAGAGAGAGAGATGGTGTTGGTTGTTCTGGGTTGTTCTACCTTTGAAGCTCAGAAAAGCAGAATGAATTTATTTCCAATGGGTTTTATCTCCTACAGGTGGAGAGTTTGGTATGAAGGTTCTAGAATGGAGAGAGAGAGAGAGAGAGAGAGTAATTTTTTTTTTTTCAAATAAGAGTAATTTTTTTTTTCAATTTTTTTTTTTAATATTTGTCTAGTAGAATATAAATATTTAATCTTTTTAGAATTTTTTTTAAAATGGTCATAAAAGACAAAAAATAAACAAAAAAAATCACTAAAAAACTTATATCCAAACAACACCTACAAATTTGGAGGGAAAGTTGGTTGAGATTTGCCAAAATAGCATGTGTACCATTAGAGCACCATTGCTATGATTTGGCAAATTACCACTATTCATTGCCAAATTATAGCAATAGCAAAATTTATCAAAAAAAAAAAAATAAATGTGATATTTTATTTTTTTATAGACTTTTAACAAAAAAGTAAAAAAAAAAAAAAAAAAATAGCAATAGCAATGGTATTATAGCAAATATCATTGGAGATGCTCTAACATGTGGTTTAACTCTAGTTTTGACCTTAGACATAACATAGCAGATTTGAGAAAAAAGATCTCATTGGCGATCCAAATATTTGGGAGAAGTCTTCATTTTGGGTATTTGTCTTTTGATGGTCACTCTGTTCATTGCATTTCATTATGAAGGCATATTATTTTAATTGAAATATTAGTACTTTCTTCGAAAGTGTAATTTCTGTATGAATGAAATATGTTGCTCTATTGGGGTTCAGATTGATTATTCATTATTTGAAATGCCATGCCTACTAAAAAATTTCCCTATTGGCTTGGGCAGGTTTATAAACAGTTTAGATAGTCTTCTCATAAGTGGTTAACTGCTTACATATATGCTGATGTATTTCTTCTATGTTCTGGCAGTATATACAGCCTCATGAACATGAAAAACTGTCCCAAGTTGAACTTTTGGTTGTTGATGAAGCAGCAGCCATTCCATTGCCAGTTGTGAAGTCCTTGCTTGGCCCGTATCTGGTCTTCCTTTCATCTACTGTTAATGGGTAGGATGTGTGAATTTTCCATTAAAGCACTTCTCCATTTATCTTATTGGAAACCAGTCCTCAATGAATCCTCCCTTTATTTTCTGAAATTTTTGGTTGTTGCTGCTAATCACATAAGGATGCTTGATGTGGTTTCTAGTTCTGGAGGTTAATCCTGATTATTCCAACCTACTGAATTGCTCCCCCTTTTTTTCCAAACTTAAAGCTATGAAGGTACTGGTCGGTCTTTATCATTAAAACTTTTGCAGCAATTGGAGGAGCAGAGTCAGATGTCAACCAAAAGTGTGGAGGGCTCCCTCTCTGGTATTTCTATGTTTCACTTGTACCTTTTAGTTCTATGAATCAATATTATACTTGCATAACTTCTTTGAGGTTCTATTCTAAGCTGGGGACTGCTATTTGTCAACATTTTGTGTCGATTATCATTTTATGTGTTAGAATATAATATGTAAAGTGCTGCTTTAATAATTAGGTTAGTATAATAATTAGTATGCTTTAATAATGTACCTTTAATATTTGTGCCTCTACTTTCGGTTGTAATTGTTCTCCCTCTCCTCTATAAAGGAGAGAGCTCAACACAACATCATCAATCAATAATACATCAATTTCAACATGGTATCAGAGCAAGGTTAAGAATTTAGTATTTTTTGCTTCACCGGCGGGCGGCAACCTCGCCTTGGCCGCCCGCCGGACCTCAACCTAGTCCGCTAGAATTGTCTACACATACCTTCACTCTTCTTCACCACCTAGCCGAAGCAAACCCAAACCCAAAATCCCTCTGGGACATTTTGTCGAACACCATGTCTGCAACAATGATAGTCCACCAACAACACCACAACTCCGACTGACCCCATTTCTCCGGCGAGAACCCGAACTCAACCCACATCCCGAATCTCTGATCTGGCTCCGGGAACCTCCTACTGTTCCCACCTCAATGGAAGGCATGGTGACAGAGATATGGAGGTCCTTGCCATCATTGAAGCCACCAAGAGCACCAGCCATGGCTGAACCAGTAAGGTTCTTGAGCATGTTAAGCTCAACAAGAGCTGCCACGTTGGTCTTCAACACCTTCTTCACTATCTCTTCTTTGATGATTGCTTCACAAACAACTGATTTTCCACGACCTCCAATCCAGTTCACTGCTGCTGGCTTCTTATCCAAGCAAAAGTTTCCAGAGATGCCAATGACATCCATGTCTGGGAAATCATTTTGAAGGAACTCAAGAATCTTCTTGACATTTTTTTTATCAAACAGCTCATTCTCTCTCTCTCTCTGTCCAGCGTTGACGAATTCACTTGTACCGGTACTCGTTGTTGCAGAGACGTTTACAGTTAATGAACAGTCATAATTAGCCCATCCGATCCGTTGGCCAGCCAGATCATAAACTACGATCTTGTCTTTCAGTACAAGGTCTCCTAAAATTGTTATCCCTTGGCCTTTAATTTTCTGGAATCCAATGCACCACACTACAGCACCACCAATAGAAGTTTGCTGTAGAAGGTAGTCCTCGGGTTTGAGAATCATGGATGCACCACCAGCAAAGTTTACACTCACTGTTGGAACTATCATAGAGATGCTGGATGCGATTAGATAACACTGAATTCCTTGGGAAAGAAAAGGGCGTGCAGATTGTGAAACAGCGGTTGTAATCTGCACAGATGAGCAGATCATAAATTTCAAGCATCCCACAAGTTCTTGTTAAAATTGAGAGAGGGAGCAGCTCCTCCCTTTGTGTTGGTGTGTGGATCTCTCTGTGTGTTCTCCGAGAGGGAGCGAACTGGGTGTGTTCTTGAGTATGTTGGCCCCTTGTGTGCGTATCCCTCTTAGCCCCTGATCAGTGCCTTCTCCTCATCTTGATTATTTTTTATTGATCTCCTCCTTCAACCAAAGAGAGAACCCATCCTGGCAAGAGAGAGCACATGCATATGTGTGTTGTTTTTCTCTCTCCCATGTGACCCACTCTCCAATCTATACTTTTTCTTTTTTATTCTTTCCCCACACTCCTGTTCCCCACGATGCTCAGATTCTCCCACCTATATTTTTTCTTTTTCATTACACTCATGTTCCCCACTCCACTTTCTTTTTTCTTTTTTTTTTTAATATTTATTTTACTCCATCTTTTGAAAAGAAACCGAAACATCAATTGGTTTGCACACCCATTATCTTACTTTTCCATTAGTGGTAGGATCCGACCAAACAAATTTGAATCTCACATTTCCTTTTTATTTTTTTATTTTATTTTTATTCCTTTCACATTCACACATTTCTCTTCAATTTTATTCACATACTTCTCTTCAAATTTATTTTCTTTTATTTTCCCCAAAAAAAAAAGAAAAAAAAAAGAAGAAGAACTGCACACCAAACTCATTTTATTCCTGTTGGGGCTCACCCCGATCACCATGTTCCACCATACCACAAAAAAAAAAAAAAAAAAAAAAAAAAAAAAAAAAAAAACACAAAAAAAAACCAACAACAACAAAGACCACCATCACAACCACAAAAGATTTGTCTTCTTTTCTGCAGACGGCCACCCACCGACCTCACTTCTTCGCCTCTTCAGCCGGTCTTTTCTTCTTGCCTCTGTCCAGGGTGGCCCTTGACGGTGCTGCCTCTGTGTTTCCCGCGCCGCCGAGCACGTTCACTCCCTCCTGCTCCTCCACTGCAGCATATGGCGGACCTCCAAATCGGAACATAATGGTAGCCTTCCGCTTCAGCTCCTTATTTTCCGCCTTTAGCACACTTATCTCTGCTCGCGCATCCTTATACATGCGCTGGAGCAAAGCCAGTTGGGCGTTTAACTGCTGCACCTCATTTGTCCTACTCTGCAGCCGGTGCGACAAGTTTGTGACCGCAGTCATGGTTTCAACGCATGACTTCAAAGTATACTGATTGGCCTCAATATCCGTTTGCACCGCCATTTTTTGCTCCACAGACCGCATCGGAAAGTTCAACGGAGCAAAACCAGAGGTGTTTGGTTGAGGTTCACTGGCCACCGCCCCAGTTATCTCTCTTGTTGACTCGTTCAGTTCTGGAAAGAGCGTGAGCAGACCACGGGAAGAGGAGGCCATGTTCTGGGTAGCTGAACGGGAAGAAGAGGCATGTTATGGGTTGCTGAGTGGTTTTCAGAGAAGGTTGGTTACAGAATGTTTACAGAGTGTTTCAGAATGCCAATGTTCAGAGGTTTCAGACTGGTTTGCACAGCCTCCGCCTCAACCTTGGTTTAAATAGCCAGGGCCGATACGCGCATCGGCGCCGCACTTGACGCCAGACGACAAAACGGACGCGCAAGCCAAGGTAGTCACGCGCCTCGCCACAGTGTCGGGCACGTCTTTTGAGGTATTGGGCACGCTTTTGAGGGCGCGACTTTTGAGGGCTCGATATCTATATACATGTATATATTTGGGCAGCCTATATACACCATCATACAGTGTATTTTACATGGGTCCGACAAGACTCTGTAAACTGTCCGACATTGATTCCGGTTAGCTCCTTCATGGGTCCGACAAGACTCTGTAAACTGTCCCCGACATTGATTCCGGTTAGTTTCTACAAGGGTCCAGCAAGACTCCGTAAACTGTCACAACAACTGTCACAGGTTGCCATTTGTCTGCTACAACGGTCCGACATGACCCCATAAACTGTCTTCTACATCGGTCTGCCATAACCATACAGTCTTTTACAACGGTCTGACACGACCATACAGTGTCTCCTATCCAATTTTATTTATCAGTTTACTTTCCTATTTTGTTACTTTCTCCAAACTCAAGTTGGTTGGTTCCTATCCTCCTTGAGTTTGAGGGGGCTGTTAGAATATAATATGTAAAGTGCTGCTTATAATTAGGTTAGTATAATAATTAGTATGCTTTAATAATGTACCTTTAATATTTGTGCCTCTACTTTCGGTTGTAATTGTTCTCCCTCTCCTCTATAAAGGAGAGAGCTCAACACAACATCATCAATCAATAATACATTAATTTCAACATTATGACAGTTCATAAGTCATCAAACATCATTGCATGTGCCTATGCCCCGATTGTCTGACAATCAGTTTTGGGCTCGATTAACCTTTTTGGACCAAATGCCATAGCCTGATTTCAGCTCTCAAGATGCATGAAGCTTCCACGATACTGCCTATTTTGTATGTATGCGGTACAGACTAATAAAATTAAAGATTAGATATTTGGAAATTAATATGGATTGCACGGAGTTCGAACTCACATCCCAAATAGATGAAGTATTACCATTCCAAGATCTTTGTTCAGACATTGTTTCTGCCTACGGAATCTTATTTTGTCCTGCTGCCCCTTCTAAGATTTGCAGCTTCCGCAATCATATTATACTCTTTTCAGGCTTAGTTGTTTTATTTATTTATTTAGGGTAAATTACACTTACCTCCCATGAGGTTTGGAGAAAATACAGTAAGCCCAGTTTTGACATAATTACATTGATCTCCCTTTTAGTAAGTTTAAATGGACTGGACCTAATGTAGATGATGTGAAAATACAAAAATAAATAGTGTAAAATATACATTTTCGTGTAAAAGAGACGAAAACATCATTTTTCCATCCATATAACTAACAAATTATTGATGAAAAGGGGCCAAGTGTTATGTGAATTAAAATCTCAAGGGAGCTCTATGTAATTATGCCAAAACTGTAGAGATTATTGTATTTTCACCAAACCTTAAGGGAGGTTTGTGTAATTTACCCTTATTATTATTATTATTCAAGGATAAAATGAGTTTAGCTTGCCAAGAGGCCTGCATGTTTCCATTTTAAAGCGAAACCTTTGCCAGACTCTATTCCATTGAGCATGTATGCGACAAAGGACTCTTTTTCTAGAGTGGAACATCTAACAACATGGCTTTACATACGAAGAAATATAATATTAGCCCTTTCTTTTTTGGCTGATGGAGAGACCATATTGTTTGAGGCATTTAAATTTTTTTTTTTTTTTAGGTTTTGTTTTTCATTATTTCTTGGGGGTTTTGAGAAAGCTTCAATCAGTAGAATTTCATGCTTACCAGCCATGCTTTATAACCTATGAAACATGAAGACTTCATTTTAGTCTCTGTACGACAGGTGTTGGACATAGACACTCCTCAGACACGCTAGGATATGTGTCAAACAATATTTATTATTATTTGTTTGGAGGACACATCAGGGACACTACTAGGACACATGTCATGTCTAGACACACCCCAGACACATTTGTAATAATAAAAGTTTTTAATTGGAGTCAAATTGTAATGTTAAAAGGTTCCGATCAATTAAAATTGGAAAATCATAAATACTTCTTGGTTTATTCAAACAAAAATCTAGCAGAAGAAAGAAAGAAAGAAACTGTCACCGAAGAAGCCTTGCTAAAAAATAACCTCTTTATGCCTCAATGGTTGAGATTTTGATGTAGATTGTAGTTAAGATTTCATATGGATTTTTCTTTGTTTAATATAGGCTGTACTTTGATAGTGATTTGATTGGTGTTATGTTGCATTTTTTAGTCTTTTAATACAATCTTCATATATGTGACATATAAAAAATATATACTTCTTGCCGTATACCTGTTGTATCCATATACTGATTTTTTTAAAATTACCATGTCCCATGCCCGTATCTGTGTCCGTGTCCGTTTCTATGTTTTTTAGTTCATAACATAGTTTTTTTTGGTTCTTGTGGATGAACGATATTCATTTGCATTCTAAGTTCAATTATTTGGGAACTTTGCTCATATCTTAATTCCTCAAATGTAGGTCGCCTTTTCAAGAAGATAGAATTGAGTGAATCTATCAGATATGCATCTGGAGATCCAATTGAATCCTGGCTTCATTCTTTGCTTTGTTTGGATGTTACAAATTTCATTCCTAATATCAACAGGTTAGAATTTTGTTATTTGAAACATATGGGAGATGAAATTGTCTTGTTCATCTTTGTTAATGACCTCTATCTTGTTCAATTAGGTTACCTTCACCTAGTGAGTGTGATCTCTACTATGTTAATCGGGATACACTTTTCTCCTATCACAAAGATAGCGAGTTATTTTTGCAGGTAACCTATTTTCTTTGTTGGTTATCTGTTTTCTATTGTGAGATGTGATTGATGCTTATATATTCCAATACTTGCAGCGTATGATGGCCCTGTATGTTGCTTCGCACTACAAAAATTCTCCAAATGATCTACAATTAATGGCGGATGCTCCAGCGCATCACTTATTTGTGTTACTTGGTATATTACTTGTTATGTTTGCTATCCATTAATGCTTGTCTATCTCCCTTAATGCCTGATGTATTTATTGAACTCTATGCAGGTCCTGTTGATGAGTCCAAAAATCACCTCCCTGATATTCTCTGTGTCATCCAGGTTTGTTTCTTTTTTATGTGACACACACACCAGTATTTACACTATTTATGCTTTTAACTTGAAATCGGATGGCTCTATTTCTCAATCTTTCTGACTTGCTCCTACGGAACCAAGTTCGAAAAGATTGAAAAAAATCAATCATTCACAACCACTGATGAAGGATTCCTCGAAAGTTAAGGATTGGTAATCTTTTTTAGAAATTGAATGACTTTGGTCTTATTATACATTCGTGAGGAAGGTAATCAAAAAAGAAAGAAGACGAGTTCTTTGTTTTATCACTTAGGAGTAGTATGAGATGAAAGTCTCATGCACGGTTTTGAATGAGAGAAACAAGTGAGGAGATGTCTGCAACTCTTTTCTGTTACTGCAAACATTATTCTATTGTGACTTCTTTGACATGACATGAATATCCATTTCCCCCCTTTTATACATCCTTTTGGTGCAATGTTTTCTCCTCTTTAACCAGACTTCCATATCAATCAAATACTATTGTTGCTAGAGTTCTGTCCTCTTCATAATAAACTATAACGTGGAAGATTTGCTAAGCATAATAGTTTAGAAAAATAAGTATGTTCTTGAAGGAAATAGGTTGTAACATATTAAAAGACACCTGCTTGCAAGGGAATTGGCACTAAATTAAGAAGTTAATTTGCAACTGATCCATACATGTTTTAGTTTTTGTAATGTATGTTCTACATGCCTTTAGGGAAGCAGAGTCTATGGTTTTCTGCAGTTCTTGACATTGGCATGGTGTCAAACTGTTGGTTGAGGAATAAGTTATTGGGTGTTGTTTGTTGTGTAAATCCATATCAGCAATGAAGTATCTGTGGATGTGAAGTCAAATAAAGATGGAATTATAGGCGAACTGTTGTAACATATGAAAAAGCTTGTACGACATGTGTCCCATAATGGCAGACATGTGGAGGTCTGTACCCTGCAGTGCTACGTCACTACCCTGTGTCATATCGAGGGCTGGACAAATTGGGGCGAGGCGGGAAGAGGTTAATTTTGTAACTTTAGGAATGATGGTATTAATATATATGAGAGATGATACGGTATATTATGGATAATGTTTTATAAATGATGAGATGAGAGTTAAGGATGTAAAATAAGAAATAAAGAAGTTAAAATGAATGGTAAGTGTAATATTTTAGTGTTTTAGTCTTATTATATTTAAAATTTAAAATTATATAATATATATTATATACATATAAATATGTTTAATAAATATAATAATAGTTGGAGTGGGGTAGAATGGGGGAGGGGTGGGGAAAATTGCCATTCCTGTGAGCGGGGGTACCTACATTTGCTACCTATTTGCATTCAATTGGTATTCTGTGATTCTACTGTTTGAACATGTGCCTGCATCTTTGTTTCTTTATGTTTCTCTTCCTCTGTCTCAATCTCTCTCCCTTATTCATCCCAGACTCAACTAACTTTAGAAGAAAGGAAAACTTAATTTGTTAGAACTTAATTTTTCTCTGTTGTGTACCTATTTATCTGGAATTAGAATACAAGCTAGCTATGTAGCCTTGATCACTAGCAAAAAAAGCTCATGAAAACTAGGGCATAGTAGCAAGTATGAGGCCGATCCTCTCTAGTTGTTAAATCCGCAACATTCTCTTGTAGCTATGTGATGTGGATGGGCAAGCCCAATTTAGGACCAAAAGGATTGACAGGTCTGAATGATTACCTTGGCTTCATTTCCTTGGTGCTTATATTTCAGTTATTTGCTGTTGGAATAAGTTGTCACTTGTCAGTTTTGTGGTGATCATAACTTTGCAATACTGTCAAAAAGGCTGAGGGGAGTGTCGGAGGAGACCATTTCTTTGACTTAAAGAGCTTTTGTGGAGGGGTGTTAGATTTTTAGATGTTTTGTTGGTTGCAAATGAGGTGGTTGAGGAATTCCAGGGGGCTAAATAAGGAGGGCGTGATTTTCAAAGTTGACTTTGTGAAAGTGTATGATCATGTTGAGTGGCAATTTTTGGATTTTGTAATGTGTTGGAAGGGTTTTGGTGAAAGATGGAGGAAATGGATTCATGGGTGTCTATCGTCATGTAATGTATCGGTCATTGTTAATGGTAAAAAATCGTAGGTGTAATGCATTCTACTTGTATCTTAGTTAATAGTCAAAGTAATTATCTGTATAGTACCTGAACTAAATTTTCTGCCATTAAATTTACAGGTCTGCCTTGAAGGGCAGATTTCTCGTAGATCTGCCATGAAAAGTTTGAGTGATGGTCATCAGCCCTTTGGAGACCAAATACCATGGAAATTCTGTGAACAGTTTCAGGATACAGTTTTTCCAACTCTTTCTGGTGCTCGCATTGTGCGCATTGCTACTCATCCAAGTGCAATGAGGGTAATTTTTTTTATCCGTATTAAGTTGACTTGTTAACCAAGATTTTTCGTCAAGACTTCTGAACTTTATTTCTTTTGTGATTTTTTTTTTTTTTTGTTTTTTAATTTCAGCTTGGATATGGTTCAACTGCAGTGGAACTTTTGACAAGGTAAGCACATATTTGTTAGGCTGCTTTTCTCTTGGTTTTAAAGGATGACTGATTCTTTTTTTGTGATCCTTTCTTTTTGTTAGATAGTATTTTCATCTAGTATCTTACCAATTACCAGAAATTGTACTCACATTTTGTTGTTCCCTCTCAATAGGTAAGTCTCCACTGCTTAGCATCATTGACCTTTATTAGAATGTGCAAGTACTGAAGAAAACATGGACTTATTCCACGAAACATGGAAAAAATGAAAAAAGTGAACAGTTTTAATATTTTTTTTTGGGTCTCTAAACTCTTTTCAAAGTTGTGTTGACATTACTTTCCAGGAAAGCCAGTGTAAATAACTGGTTTTTTTTTTGTTTTGTTTTGGGTGTGTGTGTTGGTAAATTCTGATGGTAATCAATGCAATAATACCTAAAAACTTAGTGGCAGTGTGCCGACCTCTTTGCATGTCATTGTTACATGCTTACAGACTTGGCTTTTCAAGTTGAAGGTCTAACAATGTAAGCATTTTACTCTGTAGTTTTATCTATGTGAATTGCAAACTGAAGATCAGAGACTCAATTAGTGGGTTCCTCTTTTGAGTAATCAATGACAAGCAGGATCAGTTGTGGTGGGAACCATGCCTTGTGTCTATATAGTGTTTATGGTGGGAACAAATTTTTTTTTTTTTTATTTGTAAAATAATTTTATTAAATACCCCCAAAAGTGGTGGCACACTCTAGTACACATGGTGCATACAAAACAAAACAAAACAAAACAAAACAAAAACAAAAACTATACTTCTACTATAATCTGCCATATGTCTACGATGCTGTACAACTCCCCCAAAAAGGTGAGAGAAAAAGATTTTTTTTGACAAGTTAAAAGAAGGAAAAGAAAAGATACTAAGAAGTTGATAGGGAATTGGGGAATTTCCCTTGGAAACACGTTATGAACACTGAAGCCCGTTCAAGGTAGGTTACTTTAGGTGGTTGGTAGTTCATGTGAAGATTTTTACCATTGAAAATTGATTAAAAAATGAAAATTCCTCCCTCATTAGTGTTTGTCTGTGCAAGGAAGTGGCGATGTGGTGGATCATTTTCTTTTTCACTGTACAGTGGCAAGGGAGATGTGGAGCCTATTATTGTCCTTGTTTGAAGTGTCTTGGCTCTTCTGTCTTGCCTGAATCTGTAATGGAGTTATTTAAAAAAAAAATTGGTGGTCATTTCTTTTGGAATCTACATTTTCCTTAGGGATGCCGATAATTAGTCATTTGTTGGTTTTATAGGCTCAGATTTGGACAATTGTGATCCATACTAGGTATTTTTGTGAACACATGCTTCTGTTTGAAATGCATGTGCTTTATTATGCTCTTTGATTTTTATTTTTTCGTTGCTAGGGGTTGCTGGCAAGATTATTAAAGTAATGTATGAAATGATGTGTTGGGGACTTTCCATAAATGTGACTATTAACTAGTTATGAACATTGCATAGGTGTCTTGCAAATTATGCTTTATTGTAGAAGTTCTTGTGATTATTGGACCAGATTTTTTTTATTTTTTTTTAAATGTGAGTCACCAGGTTTTGGAAGAATTCATTTCCAGTCAGTACGTATGGATTCAGGACCCACATATCTGTTCTTGAAGAGCTGCTAATGTTTTACTAGAACCAATGAATGTGCAATCTGTGTGGTGGTTTCTCTTATAGAGAATGACATACTGAATAATAGGGAAGTGGAAGGCTAGAGAGAGTCAATTTTGGGGGTGTGACTATGAAATTGTTAGCTTTAATTATGATACCTCTACTATTCACAAAATCTTGCAATGGTGTTAAGCTAAGAAGCATGAATATGGACATAGGACACAAATACAACACGATACAAACATACTGACACAGCATTTTTCACAAAAATAAGGACACGACATGGCATGAGCACGACAAGAAGTTATATATATTTATATATGTACACATGTAACATAACAACTATTTCTTCGATTAGTAAGGACACGACATGGCGTGAACACGACAAGTTAATATATATTTACATATGTATAGGTGGCCAAATAGCCAATAGGTTGATGCCACGTGTCTTAGGGGATCACGTGGGAATATTCGTTTCCCTAGATGCTAGGCCTTGGTGGGTATGTGCTTCCCTTGGCACTTGCCCTTTGGTACTACCTAAGTCCCTTAGTAGGACCTCATTTGGTAGGACCTTGCTCAGCAAGACCTTACTTAGGAAATGTAGCCTTGTATCAGCCAAACTCGCAACCACTTCATCGAACCCCTACTCTTAGCCACCAAGCCACAAGCTCCCTCACATCTCGGTTAAGGGTCATAGCGCAGCCTTGTATCAGCTGGACTATGCTGCGCACCAAGCCTTAGGGACGTCCTGGGTGTAAGAAATAATGTATAGAGAAAGAGAGAGAATAAATTGTATGTATTATTATTGATTGATATATTGATTTCTATTACAATGATTCATGATTCCTATATATAGAAGAGGGTGAGTGTGTAGTAGGTAAGGAGTAGGTGAAGTGGAGGTGGTAGTGGTGTAGTGGGTTAGGTTTAGTGGAGTAGGTGAGGTGGTAGTGGTGTAGTGGGTTAGGTTTAGTGGAGTAGGTGAGGTGGTAGTGGTGTAGTGGGTTAGATTTAGTGGAGTAGGTTTAAGTGGGTGAAGTAGGTGGAGAGTAGGTGGATTTTAACACTGGGTCCTGCCATCTCGACCGGGGTAGGCTCCTTTAGCTTGGGTATTTATATTTATGGGAAGGAGACTCCTTGCTTTTAGATCTCACTTTTTCCATCTTCACAGAAGTCATGGTTTTGACTTGTTCACGGTATTTTGGTACCCTGAGCCTGCTATAAGCTTTAAGGGGACTCTACCTCAGGGGGCACCTCGGGGATTTGTCTTACTTCAAGGGCTTTACTCACCTTAGAGGGTTTCACCTCGGCTGGTCTCACCTCAGCTAGTTGTGCTTTGGTAAATCTTACCTCAATTGGTCCCATCTCGCCTTTTGAGGGCATCTCGATGAGTTTACTCTACTAGTTTTGTTTTGGGGCTACTTTCCTTGCCTCGACTAGCTCACTAAAGGCCTTACGGTTTCCGTGGTGGTTCTCATATTGGTCAGTTCACGGACTATTAGCGGTTTACTTTTGATCCATTTCTGTTAGAATTTTTCCCATAAGTCCTTTTTCAAAAGTGTTCATCCCGCCAAGGCAATTCTGGTGGTATATTCAAATTTTAGATTTGACCCTTTCTACATAGTTAAATATTCATTTGAAAGTTGTATTCATCCATAGTTTTTGTATATATATATTCTTTGTTTTTTTTTTTTTTACCGATATCTGATATCTCAGTCAGTTATTTTTGTTTGGCATTGACAATAGTGTTTCTCTACACTGTCTTCCTTTACCAACATATTGCAATATTTTCCAATATTTAAAATCATGTTTGGCAATAACTTCTGGCAGGCACAGGCTAGATCATGCAATTATGGAAAAGAATATGTAAAACTAGTGAGTAAAATTTAAAATACTATTATCTAATATTTGTCTTGGGGCTGAGAAATGACTTAATAGCAATCAGTATCTTTACAGATGATATAGAAACTGTGGGATCAGGCTTATTCTTTACTGCTGATAGCGATGTGATGCTGATCTAGCTTATCATTTACTGTCAAGTACTTTTGGTTTTCATGTATGGCAATTTTACTTGGTTGGTTGCTATTCCTTTTTCCCCGTTGTAAGTAAGATAAGTTTGTACAAAAGGAGTGCCAAGGGAAAGTGGATATATGAAATATAAGTTCATATGGTTTTTTCACTGTGGCTTATGTTTTTAGACTTTAACATGTAGGAATCTTTACGAATATAAGAATTGCAGAATTTTTTCTGCAGGTACTTTGAAGGACAGTTGACGCCTATTTCTGAAGTAGATGTTGAAAATGCTTCTGAGTCTCCAAATGTTAGAGTTACAGAGGCAGCAGAAAAGGTTCATTCTCAAAATTCATTGTGTTTATTTGTGTCTGGATGAATGAAGCTTGAATCATATTATTATGTGCATATTTTTTCTTCCATTGTTAATAAAGTTGTCATTTTTAGCACTGTAGAATAGATCCGGCTACTCTAGCTCCCCTTGTGCTTAACCCATGAAAAGATTGTTAAGGCTTGTTCATTATTCTAGAGAATCTGATCTCGAACTTAAATTCGCTTGGGTGTTAGGATGAGCTAAGTATGATGAGTAGCGTGCTCAGCTCAGCTCAGTTTAGCAAGGGGTTTCTTGTTACCATCTAGATTGCAAGGGGCCTTTGATATGCCTATTTTTAACCTTCAGTATATATGCCTCATTACAGCGGTAAGTACCTGTCATAATATTGGTCCTATTGGGAGATGAGTGGTTAATTTTAATGTAGCTTGTCCTTGGTCTTTATCCTTTCCTTTGCTGTTAAAAGTTCTAACTTTGATAAAGTTCATAAAATATATGTTGTGCCTGTCAGTAATAATGGGTGAAACATGGTGTGCTTTTCCAGAATGTCTTTTATTTGTTTCCATGATGAGGTTTTCTAACTAAAGCTAATAAAAAATTGTCAGTGGAGCTCAAGCAATATTAGTAAGCAAATCTTCACACTGCCTAAATTTTCAGCTTAGCTTGAGCATCACCCTAGGCTTCTGAGCCACACTCATACAGTACATACTTGTATTGATTTGGCATTTATACGCATCATCATTGATAATTGGGACTATTTTCCTCACTTTCATTAAGGTTTGCCTAAAGTACACTTGATTAGTGTTTTAAAAAGCTTGAGGCACATTGAGGCGCTAAGGTCTTCTTGAGCTTAAGCACGAGGTGCAAGGTGAGGCATGCCACCAAAGCGAGGCACAAATTGTAGAAGATAAGCAAATATTTCTGGAATTTCAAAAATCATAGACCAACATTCAATATTTCAAAAATCACTTTACTTTACCCATCATTTATTGACGCGATTCATTTCTTTTTTTAGATAAGGAACTCACATCATATGGCAACTTAGTATTTTTAATTTTAAACTGGGATCAAATTGCTTGATAGCTTCAATAATTGGCACAAAGCTGTCATAATTCACTACATTGAAAGTAATCTTAAAATCATATTACCATCTTAAAATCCCAAAACCTTTGCTCAAGGACTAGTTTTTTTTTTTAATTTGAATTTTGGGGCTCAAAGCATTTCTTTGCATTTTATATTAAAGGGGTAGTAATTCCCTATGGCTACACACAAAGAATAAGGCAAGAGCAAATCTTTAAATGAAGCGCATGAGGCGTGTGCCTGAACCTAAGGCTCGAGCCTCATATGCGCCTTTTCTACAGCGCCTCGCCTCAAGCTGTCCAAGGCGCCTTAGGTGCGCCTCACTCTTCAGCGCGCGCTTAGGCACGCCTTTTAAAACACTTCACTTGATACAACTGTAGTATGAGAATTATAGTGATGTTCCTTGCCAGAGTTTGCAGTGAGATGGTCAGTAATGGAGGGTCTATTTACCTTGTTACCATTGCTTCTAATATAGGTTTTTCAAGGGCAAGAGTTTAGCGTTGGTTATTGTATGTCTTTTTGAGTGTTTGGCTTAGTCTTCTTTTGGAATTATTAGGGTTGTATAAAATACTGCCTAATCCGTGCTGATCCGCATAGGTTGAGAGGGTGGGTCACGCGGTTTGGCATGTTTTTTTTTTCCTTCTATTTTTTGCTGATTGGTTTGACCAAATTTATCAACACCTCATTTGACTGACCCAACCTGCCTACCGCTACTAACATGTCACGTACCCCACCCCATTTACAAGTCTCTAACCCTAAGTCAAACAAACACACATCAGTACTCTCTTCCTCTTTCTAGAGACTTCCGTAACCCTTTCTACGCTCTGCTACCCCCATCCGCATCTCCATCTCTCTAATACTTCCTTGTGCTACCGCCCTCCTTTCCCACCTCTAGGCACCAAAGCCCCAATGTCGATCATGGCAATGCGGCTGCCGGCCTCCATACGCTTCACAAAGTCATATTCACGAAGCCCCAATGACCACCTTGTTGTGGCCACCAGCATCCCTACACCTTGTGGAGTCACTGTGCTGCGGCTGCCAGTGTGCCTACACCTCACGGAGTTACCTTCATCAACCTCAATGGTAGCTAGGTCGCATAAGGTACTCTCTCTCAGATCTCATTGCATCTGTCTCTGAAACTCTCAGGTCTCCCTCACTAAAGCCCCCATTTTCAACAAACTTGCAAGGTCCCCTCCCGCCTTTGCTCCCTTATTGAAAGCCTTCTCTGCACACATCTGAAAATTCTTATCCTCTTACCTTACATGGAATCAGGTACGGTTGTCGAGTGTGGGTGCGTATTTAGAGGTTGGATCTATCAAACCTTTAATTTAAGAGTATGTGGACTTGACAAAAATAGTTCATATTTTTTAATATATTATGTGAGATAAAATAGTTTTTATGTAACATATAGTGCCAAAAAGGTATTGTATTAATTTTATAGGAATTATACAATAATATATATAATGACTGTGGTAAATACCAATATATAAGAACTGTTTGATGGAAATTATTGGACACATATCCCACACCCTTGTACTATATCCCTCACCAGCTGGTAAATACCAATATATAAGAAATGTTTGATGGAAATTATCGGACACATATCCCCTATGAAGCACGGACACAGACACGGATACGGATACGGACACGGACACGGACACGGTACACGGCAATTTTCAAAAAATGGGGACACGGACACGGCGGGGGGCACGGCGAATTTTTTTTTTTTTATTTTATATATTTTTATGTGTTATGTAGATTCATATTACATTCATCCTAAATTAAAATTAACAAACACTAACATAGTAACATTAATTGAATAAACATAACCATTACATTTAAACAAATTAATAGATCATCCATTCACAAAAAATGCACAAAAAAGTCATAATAAACGATAACAAGAACTAAGACGAGAAGGGGAAAACATTCAACATCCAACAATATTTTTCACAAAAGTACTAAATAAGAGAGGCAAAAGATTAAAAAAATAAAAAAAAAATTAAATTAAAAAAAATAAAAATAAAAATAGCCCTGCCGTGTCCCCGCCGTGTCCCATGCCGTGTCCCCATATGGACACGCGTGTCCCCGCCGTGTCCCTGCCGTGTCCCCTGCAAAAAAATCATTAAATTAAAGGGACACGCCATCTGGCGTGTCCCATACGTGTCCCCGGCGTGTCCCCGTGTCGGACACCGCCACGGCACTAATTTTGGAGTGTCCATGCTTCATAGCATATCCCACACCCTTGTACTATCTCCCTCACCTGCTACTACCCCTCAATTCCCTCACCAAAGTCCCCACCCTCAACTCTAGCAAAATCCCTCTCCCTATGAGATTTGCACTGTGTTTTAATTTTTCTTTAATGTTTAGAAAATTTTCATTACTTTGTTGCATTTTTTTTTCCTTTTCAAATTCTGAATTCTTTGTTGCATTTTTTTTTCCTTTTTCAAATTCTGAAATCTTGTGAATGTGTGGGCCAATAAGTGTCTATTGTCTATCGGATTATAGCTTGAAGGCCCAAGTTGAAAGTAAAATGTGGTAAATTTAATAACAAAAGGCCCAACTTGAAATTTAGATTTTAACCCGTCTAGCTGTCCAACTTGCTGAGTTGAAACTGCCATAAAAAGCCAATTGACTTACCAGTTTAGAGGTTTCACGATTTGGTGGTGGGTGGGAAACTTCCCAATCCACCATTGGCGGTTGGGCTGGAAAAAACTCCACATGCTCACTGCAGACCCGCTCACACCCCTAGGCATCAACTTATAAGATTTTTTTTTTGTTGAGATTTTTGCCTTCAGTCTACTTTTTGAAAAATTATATCATTTTTTTTGAACTTTTTAGGTCTGTCTAGATTTGATGACATTGAAAATTAAAGAGATTTTAAAAAAAATTGCAAAAAAATCATTAAGAAAAATACAACTCAAGTTTTGTCAAAAAAACCTATGAATGTTGGCTTATTTTGTCTTTACTATTTTATTTTATTTTTAGGATTGTCTAGTCTAGATGGACCTAAAGAGTAATGAAAAAAGTTCACTAAAGAAAAGACAACAATAAGCCCTAAAAATAGCCTATTATAGGTTGGTTTGCACTCCCTCTGGCTCTTTTCTTTATTAAATTTATGTAAATTTATTGACTCACTTATCAGGTCAACTCATTGACTGGGTTAATCATGCGATCCCTGCCATCATCCCTAGGTTGCAAATTTCATCACTTTGAATGGCCACAAAGTGCTGTGACCACCATGAATACCAATAGCTGCTGATCATTTCCTCCCAATTCCTCATCAGCATACCCCATGACTAACATTATGCCAAGAAATCATTGTGACCATCTCCTCCAACTTTTACCTTAAAACTGTAATACTAATATGTAATGCAGTTGTGGCATGGTAAGTAAAATCGAAGGTTGACAGAAACAGCTGAATTGCTAATCTCTGTGTGTGTAGTTGGACAATCTGAGGAAACAAATTCATATATTTAGACAAATTTTAATGAATAAACCTGACTGGACTTTGAAATGGGCTAAATTAATGGTAGTTGAGTGTAGTTGAACAATTTGCAGGTTGATTGCTTTTCCTGTCCCAGTAGGATTAGTGATGACAAGATGTAATGGTGCTAGTAGTGGTTGTGTTGTGGGCAGTGAGTTGCAGAGGTGGTGATTAGCCACAGGCTTAGCTTAATGAAAGTGATGAACTTTGAGCTAGGTTTAGTAATTCAGCATTGTGTGTGTGTGTGTGTGTGAGAGAGAGAGATTTTCTTTTCTTTTCTTTTTTTGCACTTGTTCAAAACTTAGGCCCCTTTTGTGGTTGTTCCTGCTTATTATAATAACAAAGAAAGAGAATAAATTGTTACCATTTCATTTTTCACTTCTTTCTCTTCTAGGAAACTAACATAACAGTGTCCATTTTCTTCTTACCTCTATCTATTTTCTTATCATTTCTACTTTATCAGATTTTCTAGTAAGTTTAAGATATTTTTATCTCAATTTATTTATAAATAAAATGGGAAATAGAGATAACTTTTGTTTGATACTCCTAGCACGTGTTGTAACTTGTAACGACTTATTGTTTTGGCATGTTTCATTGTGTTTTGGTGTGCTTTGGTGAAAATTCTGAAATTTTGGTTTTCTACTGATGTTTCACATCTGCTTCCTAGGAAACTGATAGGTTTTTGGTCAATTTGATGGAAATGTAAATAAATAAATAAATTGTTCTCTGCTCTGCACTGCTTTCTTAATCGAAATGATTATCATTCTGTTTTGTTCATCAAATGGTAGCGATGAATATGGTGGTGGTAGTGGTGATGCTGATGGTGTGAACTGTTTAGGGCTTGTTTGGTTTGTTTTTGGGAGAGTTGTTTTTGAAAAAAATTTGGGAGAGTTGTTTTAGAAATTTTTTTGATTTGTTTGGTTGTATATTTTGAAAGTAGTTTTGGAGTTTGGGAGTTTGGGATGATTTGATATTTTGTTGTAATTGAGTAGATGTGTGTGAGAGAAAAAGTGATTGAGGAGGAGAGAGGAGAGAGAAAAAGTGATTGATTGATGTGTATGAGAGAGAGTGATTTTGGAAATTTTTTGACAAAAATTTCAAACCAAACAATTTTTTGGAATTTTTTTTCTAAAACTCATCTCTAAAACTCAAACCAAACATACCCTTAGTGTCTAGATAAAGGGGTTTGGCTGATGGTACTTGATTTTAGGGATTTTTAGAAAGAGATGGGAGGGAAGTGGAATGATTGTTTTGATAGGTAGTTGCGCTGGGTTAGACAGAGAGACAGAAAAGGGTGGAGGAAGAAAAGAACAGACAGAGGAATATGAGACAGTAACATATACTTGGCCCAGGTTTTATTTGATTTACTTACTGAAGGGTACAACTGTCATTTTAATTCAAAATATTTTACTTATTTCAAATGAAAGGCTATTTTCTGCTTTTATGAACCTCTCAAAGTGTCAAATCAGGTATTTAAAAAGATTTAAGACAGCTGCAAATTTTATCCGCTCAAGTGATGGTGTACTAGCAGAAGGGTGTTATTGAAACCGAAGGAAGTTGGTCTAACTTATCATACGACAAAATTAGCTATTGTATTTTATACAAAATAAGGGTGCCCGTGGTCATTTGCCCTCAATTTTTTGATCTGATTGTCTTCTACATTTTTTGCTGATTGATAGGTTATTTCTTTTACTGCAAAACTCGAGGGGTATCTGTTTAGTTGTTTTGCTGTATCTGTCAATTTCAGTTTTATGCCTTCATGCTACTTCATCAGGAGAAATGTGTGCTCTACACTCTTTGGTGACTGGAGTTCTTTTTCCCCCTTCTTGTCAGGTTTCCTTGTTAGAAGAAAATATTAAACCAAGGACAGACCTTCCACCTCTGCTTGTTCATCTTCACGAACAGCAGTCTGAAAAGCTTCATTACATTGGTGTCTCATTCGGGCTTACCCAGGACCTTTTCCGTTTTTGGAGGAAACTCAAATTTGCTCCATTCTACATTAGCCAGATTCCAGTTAAGATATTTAATATTATTTCTCCTTGGGAGGATTAATTAGTAATTTAGTATCCTGACATTTCTTTCCATGAACCAGAATGCTGTGACCGGTGAGCATACATGCATGGTTCTAAAACCATTGAACAATGACGATGTTGAATCCAGTGGTTTAGACCAATGGGGCTTCTTTGGTCCTTTTTACCAGGGTGGGTTCATTATATTACACACCATGTTGCTCTGTTTTTTTATTTTTTATTTTAAAACCAGATGATTTTAGTTTGTCGATTGATTTTTTCTAGACCATCCTCAGATTTCAGGCAGAGATTTATTGGACTATTGCAATATTCTTTCCGTGATATGGAGTACAAGCTTGCCATGAGGTTAGATTTTGAAATGTGAACTTCTTCTGGTAATGTATTTGTTTTCAGTATGCTTATGCTACATATAATCTTTCAGTGTCTTGGATCCAAAGATCAGCTTTGCAGAGCTGGAGCCTGCATTGTCCACCACTTCAAATGGATTGTTGAAGTCGCTTAATGAAATTATGACACCTCATGACATGAAACGACTTGAAGCTTACACAAACAATCTTGCTGATTTTCGTTTGGTAAAATCTTTACATGATGCTTAACGTTGCTTCTTTTGTGTATTGGGCTGTTTTTTTTTTTGTTTTTTTGTTTTGTTTTGTTTTGTTTTTTTTTTGTTTATCTAGGGGTGGACATGGTTTGGTATGGTTTGGTTTAGTTTGGTTTGTTGGAATATCAGGAACCGATCTGATCTCAATGGTTCCAGAAATTTTGGAACCAAACCAAACCATCTAAATTGTGGAATTGAATCAAACCGCACCTATTAAAAGCAGTTCAGTTTCGGTTTGTAACCACGATTCCAATACTGCACAACTAATTCATATTCAATGTTTGATAAGCTTGTCTCCATCTTCACCTCATTTCTTCTTTCTTTCTTCCTTTTTTTAAATCCATTTGTCTCTCTTGAAGAGTAGGTTCTTGGTGGTCTTGTATAGTTGGTTTTGGGAGAGTGGCTCCAGATTTATTTTCTTTCATGGACTTTATAGATTTTTTATTTGTTTAGGTAGTTTGGTGGTGGATGTATTAGTTTGCATCGTCTTGATGCTCTTCTTTTACTAAATTTTACCTTTACTTTAAAAAAAATTTGTTTTTATTGTGTGTAAATTGTGTTGCATTTTACAGATTTTGGATCTCGTAGCAAACCTTTCACTTCAATATTTTCGGGAGAAAATTCCGGTCACACTGTCATATACCCAGGCGTCTGTCTTACTCTGCATTGGTTTGCAGCATCATCATGACATCTCTTACATTGAGGTTTGGTTCTTGACCTGTTCAACTAATGGTTCATTAAACAATATTCCAGATCCAAACTAGTTAGTCTGAAGCAAAATTGCAAACTTGTGGCGGTTTTTTGCAAATAGACTATTGTCACCCAATGATTTTTGTTTTCATTTAACAGACTTTACTAGGCTAAAGTTTTGGTGCTTAGATTATACAGGACTCACTGAATATCTTCATTCCGAAGGACAATGGAATAAGAGAAGTGCTGGGTCAATTCCATAAAGCAGGCAGTCTGTAGATATATCGTATTTTAGTTTTCAATCTGTGCAGGATCTCTTAGGTGATCGTAAATTTTTACCATGCACAGGACAAATTACATTCTGTTTAAGGATATCCATGTTTGGGATCTGAGGCTTCAATGAGGATGTTCCACGCTGAAATGTATTTGACGTGTGGGAAACTAAGGGAAGACAGAAAATACGAAGTCAAAAGTCATGAAATTAATCATTTGAATCATGTCCTCTTTATCTGTTGTTTGCAGGGAGCGATGAAGTTGGAAAGGCAGCAGATATTGTCACTGTTCATTAAAGTTATGAAGAAGTTCTATAAATACCTATATGATATTGCAGCCAAGGAGATTGATTCAGTCCAATCTCGACTGAGAGAAGTAAGTGAAGTAGAATGTTTGTTACGAGTGTAAATACTGCTTTTGATCTTCAGTCTAGTCTTTTTTACTAGTACTTTATGGGAGCTAAGAAAAGCAAACCAAATGGGGCATCATCAATATGAACATCCAAAGAAAAACCTAAAGTCATTTATTCAAATCATTGAAGCTCTCACATTGAATTTGGAACAGACATATTAGAATGATGCTCTGTTTCAAGTTCCATGCAACTCTTTGTTATTACCTTCTAAACTTCATACTGTATTTGCCCCAGCGTTTTGGGTCTGCAAATCGTGGTTTTTTTTGTTTTTTGTGACAAGTGAAAATGTGCTTGCTGCTCTTAACCATAATCTGAAGAGTTTTTCTACAATTTTACCATCACTCTTCCAAGCATGGTGTGCTGCGGCCATGTCTCAATTGCTGGTTGCTACATTTTGCTGCACTTAAGTTATACTTTACCTCCATTGGAATCAGATTTGATGAACTTTCTTGTCACCTGATAGCAAGAACCTGGTCTATTCTATTTATGCTAATTGTAACAAATATTGTAGTCTCATGTTCTCTGTAGAGATGTGCTTGAAAACTTTAAAAATGACTATTTAACATTGCATTCTTTTAGTGTGTACCATGGGAAGCTTAGCATATATAGGTGTTGTAGCGTAACTAGAAACGGGACGTTTTTAAAAATCTGTCAATGAGTTTGGCGACGTTTTTCTGTGATGAATTTTTCTAGATGTCGCTAAAAACTAACAATTAGTGATTTTTTTTTAATATAAAAACGTTGCTAATTATCATAGAACCTATTGGACAAATAAGCCCACTTGTTGAGACTTGCACGTAAGGCCTCCTAATTTCTTTTGAACACATACAAATTGTAATAATATATGTATTATTGATATTGATTGATTGATGTAATTACAAGATTGATTTGATTACAATTCCTATACAATCTATATATAGAAGAAAATGTGGTAGTAGGTGTAGTGGAGGTGATAGTGGGTTAGGTGAAGTGGAGTGTGTGGTGAAGTGGAGGTAGGTGAAGTGGAGTGTGTAGTGGAGTAGGTGAAGGTAAAGATGGAAAATTCTAACACAAATCTTAAAAATAGGGAACAGCTAAACTAATTTGATGGTTTTTGAGTGAGTAAAAAATGTCCTAGGATAAAAAGGACGGAGAATATAAATGCAGCCAAAAAAGTCATAAATGACAATTACGTTGCAGCACAATCACCAAAATGAAAAGCAAACTGAAGTAGATAGGGTGGTCCCCTTTCTGAAACAGATGAAAGGGTGATGCCTATGATGCAATTCCATTGTTTTGTGTATCCTTTGTTTTTCCTTATTTGTCTTTGAAATGTAAGATCCCAGTCTAGCAGGAGCTTTATGCACTGGGTACAAAATGTTTCTCACCATTCGTTTTCAATTTGTTTTCAGATTGTGATGGAACCTCATGCTGTTTCTGTGGATGAGGATCTCAATGAAGCAGCACAGCAAGTTGAGGTATGCTCACCTTCTCTTTCATTTCTGAAAGAATTCAGGTGTATTGACTTGATCGGTTTGTTTGTTAGGAGGGGATGAAAGCCAAGATGGATGGTATGTTAAACCCAGAGTTACTCCAACAGTATGCCATTGCGGACAGAGAAGCTGATTTTGAGAAGGCACTGCAAAATGGTGGTGGGAAGATAGCCTCGGGTGGTCTGATTAGTGTGAAATCCAGTAAAAAAAAGGCGGAAAAGCATGGGAAACAGAAAGAGGGCCATAATAGTGGGAAGAAAAGAGACAAGGAAGATGGTGGTAGTTCCAAATCAAATAAGAAGAGGAAATCATAAAATTACATTTAGTCGATGGAATCAGACCTATTAGATGATTAACTGTTTGCTTTTTTGCTTACGAAGGAGGCTGAAAAGCGTAATTTTAAGGTGCTTATATATTTGGTTTCCCCACCCAATTATATATATTGGATTATAATTATGGTTTGTCAGTTTAGCATATAGGGTGTGATACACAATTTTGGCATTGGCACGGCATGGTTGTTTTTTATTTTTATTTTTACATTAACATAATTAATTTTCATCTTAAAATTTTCTATGCCAAGGATATTCTTTTTGTGAATGTGCTTAAAATTGTATCCTCTACTTCTTTGATGACTTACTGTTATTGGCTTTACAGACCTTCCATTTCATCTAACAAATTGGACGTTAATATCTGTTGGTCTTTTTGGAAAAAGCAACATTCTTGGCTAATTTTACTTCGGCTTTGTTTGTTTCAACATGCAACATTTACATTTCATGTAGAACATGGATCAAAGTAAAACCCTTCTTTTTTCATTACATGCAACCATTATTATGCATGGGAAGTTGAATTTTTGTTTTTTAATAATAAAAACTATGGTTTACTAATAGAAAATATAAAATGAAAATAGAAAGTAAAGGTTACAAGAGTATAGTATCGTTTTGATGTAATAGTTTGGTCATGGAGTCTTATTTGGCATAAAATGAAATTGCTGCATGAAACCACTATCTAATTGGGAATTATTTTTAACAGTTTTATTACGTTGGTATCATATGCGGTGATTGGTGTATTTTGACTTGTAGGCCATGTTTGTTTGGGCGGACTGGATTAGCATTCTCATGACTAATAGTCCTAGCACTAAGAATTCGTTAGATTATGTATCTTATCTTAACTAATAGTTAAGTTTAAAATAATTAATCCGTACTTCAATTGTTTAACCAAACATCGGATTAATAAATTTATTGGATTATTAGTCCAATCCCAAGCTCATGTCCACCCAAACAAACATGGCTGTAGGGTATAAAAACCAAATTATACCTAAACATATGGAGTAAACAAGAGAGTTGCCTTCTATTTTCTTAAATTGTGTTTGGACAAATCTCTTTTTACAAATTTTTATGTCTAAATACAATCTTAATCTTTTGATCAAGGAAAACAATAAAAGCCATCTATTATAGCAACATTGTAAATTGAATACATAATGAATCCCTTGTAACGAGTTAGATCTTCTAGAGTGATTTTTTTTTTTGAAGTGATTTTTTGTATGACTGTTGTATCTTCAACTTTTTACTATTATACCTTCAACTTTTATACAATTAAATATCAACTATTCGAAAAAACACTATAGACATGGTCTCCATAAGAGGACTAGTAGAATTGAGGCTAATATAAAAATCTAAAGCTTCCTAAAACTCAGGAGAACGTGAGAATATTGTATATAATTCAAAAAAGGTATAGAAAGTTTTAGAATAGATTTTAGAGAGTTCTTGTAAGCTTATAAAAGACTCCATGAAACTTCTACACATCGTAATATTTGTTCCAGAATACTCCTAGAATTCCACGTTGCCTATAAAAAGAGTGAGGGCATAAAGTTCTTAGTTGTTATAGTGAATATTATATGAGAAATTATTTAGTGGTCTTGGAGTACCACATGTGATGCAAATAAGCGAGCATATGCAGCAAAAAAAAGCAACACTCTTACGGAAGATACCTGAATTTGGTGGTCTTCCAAATCTAGATAGCAAGGAAAATAGTGGCATAACTGTAAAACCCAAGTTTTGAATATTATTATTTTTGGATAGATTGGTAATTACATTAATTTATATGGGTCACTTAGTAATATCAAGAATTAGTTATGAGGTGGCATGATAATTTCTATTACTAAGATGGGTAGTCTTGTAATTTTAAGAAATTAGGTTGATAACCCTAAAATATGTATATATATATATATATATTTAGATATATATAAATAAAGAAAAAGAGAGGAAAAGGGGGGTTTCATATTTCGTTTTATCGCGGCTGCGCAGTGCATCCTTAGGAGGAACGACCGTTGGAAATTGAAGCCACTAAATTTTCTTGATTGCCCATTGACTGAGGTATTTTTTGCCCCATTGTTTACTTTATGTAAAGGGATCAATTGTTTATTATATTATGTACAGGGGATGATAAGAATAATCAATTTTTTTTTTTTATGGATTTTAGTATTATGATAATTAAGGATTTGATTGGAGTATTTTACATTGTTAGTTATGTGTTGGACTCTTAGCCTTGCATGCTCACTTAAATGAGTGTGCGGCGTTGTCACGGAGCTTGGGACGTGACAATAACTGACTAGCCTCTTCGCTCATACAGTAGTGACGGAGGGATTGGTAGGTGCCACGGGATCAAATCCTAAACCCTAGCCTCCAAATCTTCAAAACCCTAGTTGGTTAGAGAGCTCTAAGCTTAGATCTATATCCTCTTGAGCATAAGTCCATTTTCTCTGCATATCACTCTTATTTTATAGAAAGTCAAGAGGCTTCTTCAAGAAACCAACTCAAAACTTGCAAATAAAACTCCCAAAAGACAAAAATATATCTTTAACACCCTCAAAACATAATTTATCTAACAAAAACACCCCCAAAGTCCCAAAAACTCTCACACAACTTTAACGGGAGCTTCTATTGGCACACACCATTTCCCCTCTTCCCACACACTTAATGATATTTTTTTTATTACATTTTTGTCCTAAAATAAAATTACCAAAATATCCATTTCTTCTTCAACCAAAACCCTAACCCTAATCACCCCCTCTGTCGCCTCTCTCACCAGCCCCCCTCTTCTCGAATCGAAGCCTCTCCTCACCCCATCGCTCGTTGCTCACACTTCCCAGTCCTTCTTTTCTCCCATCGAAGCCCCCTTCCTGTCATCTGCAACTCTCTTTTTCTCTGCGGCCGCCTTTGAACTAAACACATTGATTCAGAAGTACAATGTTGAACCAATGTGTTTTGTTCGGATGTTGAAGGTCGAACCGATGTGTTTTGTTCGGATGTTGATGGTCGAATCGATGTGTGATTTTCGACCCTGGTTTATCGAACGGCGGGTGTGTCGCGATGGTGGGTCGTCGTTGCGATGGTGGTAGTAGCAGGGACGAGAGGTGGTCGGCAGAGGGGTTGGACGGGTGTGTAGGCTGCGATGGTGGTTGGTTTAGGGTTAGGGTTTGGAGAATGAACAAGGTAAGGAAAGGTGGGTGGATTGAGTGTGTTGGAAAGTTGTGTATGTATGGGTATAATTGGAATAATAGTGTGTGTAATGAGTAAATATACATATATATATTTTTTTGATGTGTGAATTAAAAAGGATATGTATAGAGAGAATGTTGTGTGTGCAAATAGAAGCTCCCAACTTTAACTAGGCTACTTAAGGCTTAACACCTTAAAATGACAAAAATACCCTTCACCAAAGATAGCCATAATTATTATGCTACATTCATATTTACATGGTTTGCATCATCATCCCTCACTTAGAAAGAACTCGCCTCCGTGCGAGTTGCTTTTTTTGCTTCATGACACATTTTATGGTTGATACTTAGGAGCTCCGCTTCACTTATCCATGAATTCTCAAAATCAAGTTTTCCCGCCCATTTAACAAGGAATTGAAAGTAGTTGCTAGATCTAGTCTTGATTTCTCGAACCTGAATCACCCTTTCGACCTGGTCATTCCCTATAGTAGAGGTTTGATTTGATGTTCCACTTGCAACATTTTCTGTCTCAACCTTCAAATCATCATGAAAAGTATGGATATCCGCTATGTTGAAGATGGGTGATCAGGGCCGGCCCTGACTTATTAGGGGCTTAAGGCGAATTTTTTAAATTGGACCATTTATATATCATTATCTAAAAAAAAAAAAAAATTGTTTGGATAAAACAAAAAAGATAAAAATTTATTTCTATTGCATTACAATTTAACAAAATTTAGATAACAAATATATATATATATATAATAATTGAACTTCAATTAGTTGAATCGAATATTTATTTTTTAGCTTACCAATGCTATAAGAACAAAAATTAATTGGTGGTAAGGATGGGAATTTTCTACACAACTCAAGTAATATATAAAATTAGCAAGTTAAGGTTGACTATTTTCAACATGAATCCAAGTATGACACAACTTAATAACATGAATTATTAGTTATATATTTGAATGTTCACTAAGGGATACCATGACATTTTTTTAATATTTTATTTAACTCTATCTAACTGAATAAAAAAGTATGTAAAATAATAATTAAGGCTAATATCTTTTTTTCATTTAAGATATATATTTTTTGTTACTTATTTTAGAGTCAATCTAATAAAAAATATATAGTAATAAGGTACAATTTTTTTAATTAGAAAAATGCAATTGAATTAAAATCAAACATTCTATGAATAATTTCATTTATTTGAAATAAATTTTATAAAATTCAACTTATGAGAAAAATTTTAATCTCTCAATACACTTGCTAAGTTATTTTTAACTAAAAGTGAAAGTTTTCACATTAAACATCAATCAAACACGAATCAAAATAACACCACACGACAACATAAAAATAAATAAATTGAGCTAATATTAAAGTAATTATGAAATAACATAATTTGATACACTCTTCTAATTAAAAACCCTAATTTTTTTTTCAAAATTGGAGGTCCGAGGCGACCGTCTCGGTCGCCTCACCCGAGGGCCGGCCCTGTGGGTGATGTATATTGGCCATGCGAGAGGCATTCTCACCAAATTTGCACAAGATTTGACAAGGGTCAATTTTCTTACTCTTCAACTTGTGATATGTACCTGCTGGAAACCGTTCTTTTTGAAGAAAAATCAAGACCCAATCTCCCACTTGATATTCTTTGAACCTCCGCTTACGATCAATTGCTTCGTTATAGTGTTGATTCATTTCCTTCAACTTCTTTCGAACCTCTTCTTGAACTTCTTTTAGAGTTTGTGCATGTGTAATGGTGTAATTGCTTGAGGTAGATTTGACAAATCCATAAGGTCAACAACTTGGTTGGGGTTTCGGCCGTACACATGCCTCGTTTGGGAACAGGCTAATTTAGTAACTTTTTGGCTATTTGGCTAAAATATGAGCTAAAAAAAACTAGTATGTTTGGGATGACTTTTTGACTTTTTAAGAAAAGATGTGCAAAAAGTAGAGAGAAAAAAGAATCTTTGACTTTTTTGTATGGGTTGTTGGCTTTTTGACTAATTTAATAATTTTTTGACTTTTTGACTAAAAAAGAAGGTTGCCAAACGAGGCCAGGCTAAAAAAGACACTTTCCAATAGACCTGTTCACAGCAGT